TTTTTTTTTTTTTGTTTTTGTTTAGGTACTGAATAATCAGTGTTATTTCAACAATTGCAAAACACAGTTTTATATTTTTTTAAAAAAAAAAAATGAAGAAGAAAACTATGTGTTTCCAGTTGAAAGGCCTTTAGCTGATATAAAATTACTGCAAATAAAAAAAAAAAAAAAAAAAAATTTAAAACTTATTCAGTTTAGGCTTTTTGAGGTAAAAAAAAATGGAAGAAAGAATTTACAAAACAAATAAACAACAACAACAACAAAAGAAAAAAATTGCTTTTTTTTTTTTTTTTTTTTTAAAGCTGTAAAAGCTTGATTGATGCAGAAAAACAGAAAAAAAAAAAAGGAAAAAGTTAGTTTAGGATAATATTTTAAAAGCTTTTTTAGTTGATATGTTTGTGGGTTTATTGTTGTTGCTGCTGTTGCTGATTCTTTTTTTTTTTTTCTGCATTTTCCAATTAATGTTCATTTTAATTGTTCAAATTTACTTTGCAATTTTTTTTACAGATTCATTTATTTATCAACTATTTATTTATCTATTCATTCATTCATTCATTCACTTATTCAGTGATTATTTATTCAGCAATTCTCTGAAACTGTCTGTTTAGTTGCTCGTTTCTAACTAAACTATTCATTATTCTCTTACAAATTTATTCACTCTTTTTTTCCACTGTCTCTCACTTTTTTAATCCTTAGTTTTATATTTTAGTATTAGTGCTTATAAGTTATATCGGAGAAATAATATTTGCTCTGGTATCAATTTTTTCTTTTTTTTTCTTTTTTTTTTTTAGAGGTACTGCTAAAACGGGTTTATTTGTTGTCGTCGACAATGAACACCTACAACAGCAACAATCAGAATCCAAGCAGCAATGTCAACAGTCAAAGCAGCAACAGCAATCACATCATTCACAGTGCCAACTTCAACAGCAACAGCAACAACTTCAGCTACAACTTCAGTAACAGAAGCATTGACTGGTTAACAAATGCAACATTAGCAACTGAAGCAGCTGATTTAGGCACAGCATCAGATATGTACAAAATTATATTACCTTCAATCGTTATTTTTGGCTTATGTGGTAACGTTATCTCTTTGGTTACCATATTTTCATCACGAATTAAAAATGTTAGT